TAAATTGTACTATTTCGAAAATCCCCAGTTCGTATAATAATTCAAATATTTCTAATTATAACAAAAAGACTACTGCATAATCTGGTTCTTGAGAACACGATTTTGAGCACACTCTGTCGAGAATATCCCAGATAATTGACAGTTGTATTGAGTGATGATTTTTTTGGCGTATAGTAAGTTATTTCGTGACATAGGAAAGTTCGATTTTATTGTGACTGATCGGTATTATTGAATTATTCTCTATTGTTTTATTTAGTTTATTGAGATAGTACCTTAGATTCTTAAGCATTTTAATGTTTATTGATATCGTTGAGGTAAAATTGTCTACTGTAAATGACTCAAGAAGGTTTCGTAGCTTACAAAACAGCCAGTGGATTACCCGAATAAAATTAACAACGTTTTCCTCATTTAGACAAATACATTCGAACTTTGGTCGTAGCGTATACAGTTACCTATATGCTGTCGTTGGATAAAAACACACCTCTAATACGAGGCTTAAATTCACTCAATCTAAAGAAATCAGCTTAGCTGATAAAAATGAGTTTCAAAATGTTTTCGTTAAACTGGTACGTAATATACATAATACATTACCACAGTTTTCTAAAAGAATAATTCAACATCCTTGAAGATTTTATCGAATGTGATGAAAAAAGATACTGATTTCGATGTGCCTGTCAGAGATTTCTATCTTAGGTAAAGAAGGACGAGTGCTTTAATGACAAAGAGAAAATTGATTTTCAATCAAATACAGACAAACAATGCGAAACCTCTGAACTGGCTGTCTTATTTATCATAGGTCCATGTTGTGATCCAGAAGTTTGTAGTGTTCAGTTTCATCTAATAAATTCTGCATTATTGTCAAATGCTTGCTAAAGCAATCATTTTGAGTAGTTTTCATGACCAAAAGTGGGTTCTAATATTATGCGCATATTTTTTGTCCGCTAAAAAGCCGTTATATACATTCACTTCGAACGTAAACATTGGAAGGTAAAAGATCAGCACCTAAAGCCAAGCTGCAGTGCACGCCCCACTCTTTCACATCTAAAAGCCTCTTACTGGTTATAATAATTGAAACTTTTTCTTTTAAAGATCTTTAATTAGGAATGAATACTGTTTACAGTTCATAACATGGGACCAAATATTCAATTACCAAACAATTTTGTATTTCATCTTGATTATTATACATAGACCCTTTAATAATAATAATCGTTACATCCTATCTATATGTTTTTAAACGAACTGCTTGTTCTAAATAATATTTGGTGCTTGACGCGCTCTATTTAAAAGGACAGTGTTGTTGTTTCTCGTTGAGTTAATTAACTGTTTTGATCGTAAATTACGCATCAAAACTACTGTTTACACTTTAATTGCATCTACCCCAGTTAAAGTGATATTGTATTGAGTGTTTTGATTTTGCTTTTGTGTATTTATTGCATCGAAGCATACTTGGCTGACTTTTACTTGATTTATTTAGTTAAGGCTTGAGAATCCTTTTACATATCCTGTTTTTGTCACCGTTCTAGTTGATTTTCAAGATGGCTAGATCTGTTCATAAATGTGGACAACCATATTGTTTATTTCCTGTGGGGGAAGGGATGCAATGTGATGAGTGTAATAAGTGGTTCCATAAGATGTGCACCCGATTAAGCCCCACTGCATATACAAGGTGCTCACAGCCCAACTCTCATTGGCTTTGTAGTTTTTTTTGCTCGAGCAAAACATTACTTATCCAGGGAGCAATTAGTCTCCTGGTGTTGACTAATAAGAAGGTTGATGAGGGCTGTACTGGCAACATTGGTACTGATGGCGAAGTTTGCGTTAGTGTCGTAAGTGCTTTCACGGCGCAAACCAGACATCTAACTGTACAACCCGCGATTAAACCGTCTACCCCAAAACAATCAAAGAGTGACACCTCATTAGATATTGGTGGCCATGTTGCTACATCAGCAACCGGTGACCCGGATAAAACAATTATTGTCCCGAATGGTTGTAATGTGGATGCTACGACTGATGGAATATCGATGACAAGGAAACGCAGAAGAGTAGGAAAGACAGCTAAAACTAGTGACCGTCTACTTGATAAGTCCTTGGTGGACTCTCAGACCACTCCACAAAAGTCCCATAGTAAAGCTTCGTCTAACATTGTTGTGAGTCACTCGCTCGACTCCCAGGACTTTATTACAATAAAAACTAATCGTAAGATACCAGTAGTTAAAGTTCAAGATCTAACGTCACGGTCGAAAGCTGTGGACACAGTTTCAAAAGAAGCTAAGCCCCTCCCTAGTTTAATTATTTGGAATCTAGAGGAGTCGAAAGACAACGACCCTGCTAGAAGACATGCACATGACCTGCAGTTAGTGGAGTCTGTGGTAAGAAATGTACCACCTGAAAATGTTTCAGGGGTACATATTACAAAAGTAATACGACTTGGTAAATGGGTTGGGGACGAGACCCAACCAAGAAGAATCCTGAAGCTGGTTCTCGGGAGTTTTGAAGAAAGAGACATATTATTGGAAAACGTGCTAAGAACTCGTGACTCAAATATCCGTATTCGACCAGATTGGTCGCTTGAGGATCGAATCAAGTGGAAGAATGCCCTTACGGAGTTGAGGACTCGCAAATTAAATGGCGAAAATAACCTTACCATTAAGGGTTTTCGGGTAGTCAGGTCTTGGAAGCCAATGCTTCCGAGGCCTGTATGGGTTGAACGATTGGTTGCCAAAACACCTTAAGTGTAGGTTACACGAACGCTCGTAGTCTTAGAAACAAAACGTCCGAGCTAAGTCTGATGGTAGAAGAATTATGTCCCGATATAATCGTTGTTACAGAAACTTGGTTCACGGTAGATATAGACTGTTCTCCCTTCATTGCAGGTTATATCTGTATTAGAAGTGATAGTTTCAAGTCGCAAATGAGGAGGTATAATATTATACGTTAGTGACCACTTTCGTATACAATCAACAATATCGGAGGCTCATATCAGTGGCACATGTGAGGTTGCATGTTGTAAGATTAAATCTAGAAGTGGGTTGGTGACTATAGGGGGAATGTACCGCAGTCCGTTTTGTCTTGCTGACGAATTTATCCTAAGACACATCTGTTCATGGAGTATGGCAGGATGTTGTCTCATCATTGAGGACTTCAACGCACCTCATATCAACTGGATAGAGCCTTACAGCTCCAGTTGGTGGTTTCGATAGCGACATTTTATCAACCGTTATTCAGTGTTCACTTGTACAGTGTATCGTAAAACTGACACCTAATGGCTTGAAACATAATCCGTCACTGCTGGACCTCGCCCTCACCCACCACTCTGAGGATGTCTTTGATATTCAGCACCTTCCCCCACTAGTGAACAGTGATCACGTTGTAATGCACTTTAAGTTTAGGACACGGTATACAATTTGTATCAGCTCCACCCCGTCCCAATATCTGGCGAGCTAATATTCCGGCAATCAGAAACTGTGCTATCTCGACCGATTGGTCGGTCGACACGGATGGATTGATCGAAGATGAATGGAATAAGTTTAAGGCTACATTCGAGTCCGTAACGTCACCGTTTATCCCATGGTCAGCACGTAAGCTATCACATTGCCCTCCGTGGATTAATAAGGAAACCCGGAAGCTGTTAAAGCGTAGGAAACACTTCTGGGACTTATTGTTGTTGACAGGTCATGCACCATTTAAGCGTGAGTACCGAAAATTCCGTAATATCTGTAAAAGAACCATAGCCAACTCCCGTACCACTTCCGAACGACAGTTAGTATATGATAGCCGTACTTGTCCGAAACGATTGTTTTCGTATGTCAAACGGCGAATGAAACGTAGTGATGGTATTCCCTCGTTACTGACACACGAAAATTCAGAATTACTAGCTGAATCAGATCGAGCAAAAGCTGAGACTTTTTCAAACTATTTTAGCGAAGTCTTCTCTACGTTTATTGTAACAAATACTTGTCCCACTCACACCGAGATACCAACCATTGAATCTGTACAGGTGACTGAAAAAACTGTCTTTCCGTTGATAACTAACCTCAAACCTGGTGAGATACCGAGCTCTGACGGGTTACATCCACGGTTGCTGTCATCTCTTGCGGACATTATTTGAAAACCGCTCGCGACACTCTTCATCATGTCCCTTTCACTCTGGAGAAGAATAAAAGTGCGGCTGATCATCTGGATCCTCAAATTGACTTATACGATTTATTTATTTGGGTTCGAGAGTGAGGCTTAGAAATCAATGCTAGGGAGAGTGTGCTAATGCACATCGGTCACGGTAATAGTTACCGTTACACTATTGAGGGTAAACCTCTTCCATGCGTAAAGAGCATAAAGACTTGGGAGTAGTATTAAGTCGTGATTTAAAAAGAACTATGCATTGCAAAGCAACCGCTGTCAAAGGTTTTCGTGCGTCATGGTCACTTCGCCGAGCGTTCAAATCGTTTGACGAGGAAACGTTTCGAATTTTATATCTCATATATGTTAGACCAAATTTAGAGTACTGTATCCAAGCAGCTAGCCCGTGTCTGGTAAAGGATACTAACTCCCTTGAGCGTGTCCAGCGTGTGGGAACAAAATTAGTGAAGGGTCTTTCTAGAATACCTTACGATGAGCGTTTAAAACGCCTAAATCTTTTCCCCTTGTTGTATCGTGAGACACGAGGTGACCTTATACTGGCATTTCGTATCTTTAATTATGATTTGGGTGTTAATATGTCGTATCTTTTTGCTGCCTCCAGCACTAATAATCTCCGAGGTCATAACAAGAAGGTTCATAAACCACAATCTAATAAACTTAAAGTGAGGTCCCGTTTTTCTCATTGAGTAGTCAATCATTGGATCGCCTTACCCGAACAAGGGGTATCAGCCCTATCAGTGAATACTTTCAAGGGGAAGCTGGACCTTCACTGGAAAGCAATGTGTCAGGATTAATACAGGTTGACCAACCTACTATTCTTATTACTGAAGAATGAAGACTGGTATTGAATTTCGAAGAGGGTCGATTTTGGGCGCATATTTAGGTCGTCTAGGCCGAACCGGTGTTGAGTTTAGTTTATCTTGGACTTCGTTGGCTAGATTCTTGTTATCCAGTGAGTATATTGATATTAGAGATCTTTGTGGTGAGACTATAATTAACGGGCGACCTTTGAGCGACTCCAGGCTGACCTTGTGAGTGTCCACCTAATAACCAGAACCAAATGAGGACTATAAACATGTGTGAGGAGTTAGAATTAGAATTTACAGCTGATGATTAAGGTTAAAAATTAGATTTTGGTTTTTCATCATGAACTGAATTCAGATATAGTGCCAAAACTTTATTTATCCGGATGAATGAGGGAATTTCGCGCCAAAATCCGAGACCTGTTATCTTATACGTGATTGGTTCGTTAATAGATCATAGTCTCGCCAGATTTACATGTTTGAAAAGTCTATTGAGCCAGTTAAATGTCATTCAGTTGCACAAGCTGTCGACTTCCTAATACAGAGAACTGATACTATCTATGGAAAATTAGAAACGAAACTTTCGGACACTTTTTTTCTTCTGTTTTCTCATTTTGTGTTTCTTTTGATATGTCGGGCAACCATATATTCACTTGTCTACCGCGTGGTGATTACGTATTAAAAGAATGTTGCAACGGATATGTACAGTGTTTCCATATTCATATGCACTCATCTTTGCTTTTCACAATATATTAGGATTCATCACCATATTTTCTAATGTTACGCGATTTCCAGCTTAATGTTCAGTTGTTTCCCATGTCAACTCATTTTAAACATATATGCAAAATGTTTGTGGACTATTTATACAGCACGTGACAATGTCTTAAGAAATTTAACACTACTATCTCAGTATAGGTCGTTTTCAGTTATGTAGTTGTTTATATTTTATTTTGCACCTTGTCCTGAAGCACTCTGCTAACAGTTTCTGAGGTTTCTACTGGTCAGTAAATGTTTCATTTTTAGGTGTTCCACTTTGCTAGTGCAAAATACGGTCACCAAAAATAAATATTCGTATATCACTAAATTTTGAATAGAAGTGCTTTTGAGGTGTTACTCATATATGTTAGGACCACCAAGTAATCTATGTTGAGTTCAGGCATGGGGTTTTAAAGATGGGAAGTCGTCTGGCGACAAAATAAATCCTTATCGACTTAGATAGCGGGTGTATGCATTATATACCTAACCACCACCTACGTTGACGAGATATTTTCTGATGTAGGGTGGTTTGAGAGAAAGCTGTGGGTAGCCAAGCAAATACATCAGTACGTAAAGCCAATAACCTTTGCTCTGAGCCATGTGGGGTAGATCCAGACTACCTGATTGGGGTCCTCGCGATTATCGAAGTCAATGAGTGGAGATAATGAGTAACAAATCAAAATTAGTTAAAATGGTGCAAATGCATTCACTTTTTGTTTCTTCTTAGGTTTTAGGAATACCTTGCAATTTTATACCCTACAAACTAATTTTCTAGAATCATATTGTCTATGATTAGTCCTTTCTAATGTTATTGGTACTGTTATTGCTTCTACTACTCTAAGATTTGTCTTGATCATTTTATATCTTTATACTTATATTGTATAATACCACAGATACACATGTTTGTCAGATTAATGTTCATCATAACCGGTAAATGCAAGAGCGATCCTTGTAACTGTTTTACATATTTTTTCCTTACTAGTGGTCTCACTTCACATACCAAGTAAATAGTATGTCTACGAAGTCAGAATTCAGTCGGTTATAATCAGCCTAGCAAAAATTTGTTAGCCCAAGTTGCCGTTTTACGTAAAGAAAGCTTGATGTAATTAATAAATATTTGAAATTTCTGTAGTGTGTGTTAATGAAAAGAATTAGTTATTTGACAACTGGTCTTGAGAAAAAAAGATAAATTGGGAAATATAAGGTATGGAAGTATATTAAAGCTTAGGGCTTGAGGAAAGATTAAAAAATTGGTCTATTTACACCATTCACACCAATTCTGAACAAAGTTACTCAACATCTCCAACTCCGGATTACGGTTGTTCCCAGACCCCAACCAGGTATTCTGTATCTACTAAGATGGCTCAGACCAGCGGCTTATGACCAATCTCATATTTTTGTTTGGGCACCCCTAACTATTTTTCCATGTACTCCTCCACTAAACAATATCTCATGTCAGCCAGTGGTTGTGTATACGTGGCACGCATCCGGTTTATCTCAGTTTACGAAGATTTACCAGAAAGTACATAAAATAATTACCAAAGTAACCGAAACAAATGAACTATTTTTATCCATAAAATTGTATTTAAAAATATGAATAAAATTTTGCTTAATGCTTTCTCAAAAGCACCATCTATGTTTGGTTACAGTAATGCTAAGTGTGGAATGTTTTTAGTTTAGTCGAATTTCTGTCATGTATATAATCAGTTGCACCGAACCATCTAAATTGTTTAGTTTAATCACTTGTTTTGTAGCTACCAGCCCATACATTTGTATTAACACAGTTATGAATATAGTCAGGTTTTGTGGAACTTGTGTATGTAGGTAGCATGTGACAGCCATGCACAGACATTTACATACTTTGCATCCATAAATTTTTTGCGAAAAAATCTCAGCTGAAATGAATTTACAAAACCCTCAAACATTCAAACTGTTTTGGTGAATCTGAATATCTGTGGGAGATTCATTAAATCCCAAAGATATACTTCACAATCTCTTGTTAATTCATTGTTTTTCCACAGTTGTAAAGAAGGTATAATACCTAGCTGATTGTTTGTACTATATGTTAAATTAACCAAATTTTATTTCTAGCGCAAAAGTTTTATGTCAAACTGGTAATTCTTATCTATTTGCTTGAACTTTTCTAAATAAACAGATTTTGTTACTTGCACAGACATTTACACCTTTATAATATGGAGAAGGGTCAGACGTTTCGTAAACAGAATAAAGAAAAATTGCAAAAGTAAGACGTTTTTTTGTTTTGTACTCTGTAAATATTATTTAATGTGAACTTATGTACCAACTCACCGGTTTAATAAGAATCTTAATTCCATTTCTGTGCATCAGCTGCATTGCACCTGTGGAACATAAACTCTCCAAAAGATGGCAAGCTTTAATTACAATCATATGATTTCGAGTTGTGTTCTGTACTCCACTCAATTAATTTAAAATGTATTCAATGAACAGTCAGTTGATTAATTAATTTTTTCCTTTAGGAATCATGCAATAAATTTGCTACTTCGATTCAGTAGGCTTTTGATTATTTTCTAGTTATTACATGTTTCTTGTCACACGTAGTTGGAACATCTGCTTCTAAGTGGCACCCCCTTCACTTCGGCTCTCAAGAAGAATTTAGAAGAAGCACTGAACTCGTCATTTCTTAATTGGGCACATTATGTAATTCATAATTTGTCAATCCTTTCTAATGGTTGTAGAAATTATTAATTATATGAATTAAATTTTATGAGTGTATTTTTTAGGATCCTTAAGTTGCCAAGGAAAATGTAGCTCCTGGTCATGTCTTTATTTCTTCATCCTATTTATTAGCACTATCATTACTCTTTCGCAATGGTATTACTTTATTTCTCCTATTCTGTATCTTGACATTATATTATTAGTTTATTCAGTATGTTGCAACTATTCATTGATTACCATATAAATTAGTTACCCTTTAGTGTTCAGTTCTTATTATTGACAGTTTTCTAGTTCATTCAATAACAATCCAACAGACGTGCCTAAAATCAATATATAATGAAATAGTTTACTGAGAATTTACATTTTAATGTCTAGTGACTTGCTTTGTTCTATATATATATATATATATATATATATATATATATATATATATATATATATATATATATATATATATATATTTGTCTATGATCTCAACACATGGTAAGGGTGAGCTACTTCTCAAAAAGTATTATTTATTTAATAACTTGAAAAACATAAAGTTCTCTTAACCATAATCATTCATTTTATTCACCACTTATTTTGCTATCATTGTTATCCTGATGTTTAATTTCTTTTACTATACAGAGAAAGTCACAGTGAAATCGAAAGGAAACGTCGTGAACGAATGAAATTAGAAACAGAATTTCTACACCGTCAAGTACCACATTCACAATGTAAAGATAAATTATCCATTTTTCTTGCTGGAGCCGAACGACTTATTCATTATAACAGTATGTTCGATGCTTATTAATTGCTGTAATAATCATAATGACCATCATTATTGTTATTATTATTATCATCACTATTATTGTCATTCTTTTTAAATACACTCTATACTTTGTTTAGATAAATTAGGAAAAAGGGAATATATCATCAATGATGAAGAGTATTCGCGAATTGTTATCAATGTAAGATTTGTTCATTTCACCTACTTATCAAATATATATATATATATATATATATACATTTTTAATACATATATACTATTAGACTATTAATGGATTTGGTATACATGTCAAATGTTCCAGTGGTGAAATATTGTATGAAGAAAACTCTGAAAAAGTACTTGATATTCCTCAAGTTAGTTTTTCAATGATTATTTTCATGTGTTGTGAACTGTATTATTGTTGTTATCATTTTTAACGAAATGGAGTTCATAAGCAAATATAATGTATTTGAAAATCTAAACCTAGTCACATAAGTGTTTAGATTAGCATAAGTGACTCTCAAACACTATGGTCCCTGGTATTTTTTGTATCCACTTAAGACTCATTGAATATGAAACTGTACAGATGATCACTAATAATAACTTGATAGTCTAGGTTGGCTCTAGAATTTGCTTTCTGGGGCTTGTGTTATATTTTATCTAGCGACTGTTTAACTGAATCTACCATAGTGAGTAGTAATGTAACCTATAATTATGCGAATGAGACTTTCGAAATGAAATTCACAGGAAGAATCTAAGTAAAGACTATCAGTTTATGAATTAAGTTTACAATGCTATTGAAAGTCAGTATGAATAAAACCATTATTCGTCAACCAAGTCTACTCTTACATTTTAAGGTTATTAATCCAAAAACCAGTGCTTTTTCTGAAATATTTTAAGTGCAAGTCCACAGTTTTCAGTAATGCACAGTAACGTGTAGTGATTTTCGTGTCTACATCAATAAATTATTTGTCTGACAAATAGCAATTTTTATAAAGAAGAATGAAGGCAGCTCAACCTAGAAAATTTCCTATCCGATGATTTCATTCTCTTTACTGAATCACGTTCTTTCTTCAGTGATACAATGGGTCTCTTTCGTTATTGAATATTTTCTTGTCATAATTCAAGTGACTATTCAAGAAATATGTTACGTTTTATTTAAGCATCAAGACCTGATACAATATCACAACAAAAATGCGTCACACAATTATTTAGCATCAAATGGTCGTTTGTAAATTAAAAATCTATGAGTCAAATTTTAATGAAAAAGCGATCCCACTCTATATTATGTTTAGTTATTGTAGAGGATCATCGGCAAAAATAGAATATATTACAATTAATCATTGTTGAACATACATTTTACTTGTAAAAATTCGAATAGTCTGTTAAATAAAACTCACTAGTGATTATGTACCGGTTATCTCCAACTGTACAGGTTTTTCGACAGTTCTGCCTTTACAATGTGTCTCATTACGAGATATGGATGTTGTTCACATTATCGTAAAGCCTTTGTAATGTATATTTTACGCATGAATATCAATATAATTGTGTCTTTTTCTTCTGAAGACCGGTGACTTGGTGGCTATAGCATTCAATTTTCAGCCGATCAGTCGTAGGCTGGAATCTCGATTCGTCCACTTCATTTCGGGTAGTTGGATGCAAACTGAGCACAAGCTCACATACACACAAATGTGGTTTAAAATAGATAGACAAAACTATACGCGACTAGTAACTGATATAATTCTTACAATGAGTGACCAAGGTAGAAAATTTACTAACCACTATGGTGTTTCCACCTCATAAATTTATATATTTAGCACCACAATAAGTTATGAGGTTTGATGAACTTGTGTTTACATTATGAGTTGAAAATACTTAATTAATTCGTTAAAACAAGTCGTAAACCGAAAAATGCATTATAATACTTAAGCAACTGAGCAGACTACTGTAATCAGATTAAATTATGATCCGAAATTAAAGGTTATCAAGTCGCGTATGTTTTTCGTTAGTTATTCCTTAATTATCATTAGAAAATTTTTTAGCATTATCAATAAAGTTATCTGACTACTAATAATTTTTTCAATTGTCTTTTATATTATGCTAACATTATTTGCTGTTCGTTTTTCATTTTGTTCTAGAGCAGTTTTCTAGGCAAAACAATTTATGATTTAGCTGAACCAAGTGTTAATACAAAAAGAATTATCACTGATAGCCTCATGTTTTATGGTTCAGAGATGCAACAAGCAAGAGATGGACGTAAGTAATAGTAAAATATATTTATACCATTGTAAAATATGTATTCATATTTAAATTATTTTCGTGAATATTCTATTTTCTCTTATACTGATGAATCTCAAGCAAATCTATGAAGCTCTTTTTTTCTAGACTATAAACCGCATGTGTAACATTTTTATACGATCTAAACTTATTATCCAATGGTTATGTCGTTGAAATACAGGTCAGTTTTAAGTCAAAAATCTTTCACTAAACGATGTTAGTATGTTTCATTCGCCATAATCCTGTTTAGCGTACAAGGTTAATTAAGTGACTTATTTTTACCATCTTGATTGATACGAAATATCAAGTGATCATAAACAAAACCTTTCAAATCATTTACCAGTTTTCTTTGAATTTAGCGCACAGTTTACGTATACATCGACACCCTTATTAACGAATCTAACCACTGTGCTCATAAGAAACTTGTGCAATCATTATCGGAATATTCAACACTAGACTGAGTTACAAATGACTTACTATACATTTTCTTTTCTTTGCCAATTTCTTTTTCTCAAAAAAATTCTTTCCGTTTTTTTGTTATAAAACTGTAACATTCACTTCACACTTACGTAACTGTTATCACTTCGAATTATCAGTCCTCGTAAAGCATTCTCTAATATTATACTATTACTTACGCCTGTTACTCCATAGGGCATAGAGTGCCAACTAGAATTCTCACACTAACTCTATACTGGGCTCTCCCTTTCAGTTGTTGCCAAATACCGTTCATTCTTTTGATTTCACCCTTGAATTTCCGGCGTAGTATTAGTTCTTTGGTGTGCTTCCTTTCCTTTTACTTTGAGGATTTCAAGTTAGGGCTTGCCTCGTGATGCAGTTTTATGATTTCCGCAATGTGTTTCCTATGCGCCTCCAGCTTCTTTTTTTAATTTCCTGTTCAGTTGGGATCTGGTTTGTTTTTTGCTGCATAAGGTTGTTGCTGCTGTATTATCTTATGCAATGAATCAACTCTGTAACTAAATGTGTGTCAATTCATTCATTTAATAATTATAATATCTTTCTCAATAATTACCACCGTACCCACCACCCGATCTTCCAATTAATTTGTCAATCATTCAGTTATTTTCATAAACGCATTATTATTATTATTATTATTATTATTATTATTATTATTATTATTATTATTATTATTATTATTATTATTATTATTATTATCTAACACTACAAATTCGGAAATCGAAATTGAGAGTTTGTTGAATAAGATTTTGAGTGCGCTACTGTAATAAGAGCAGTTAACTATTTTCGAACATGAAATATTGCACAATAGATTTTGTAACCTTTTAACATTGAGAAATGGCACGGTTCAAAAAATCAACACCAAAAAATTATTGTCAAATAATAACTTTTTATAGTTACCTGAATATTTATAAATTCTGTAGTTTAAATCACGAACTGATCTTAGATAGAACACTACTAAAAACTGGGAGGCACTGGACAATTGTTTTTGTCTTAGTATAAAACCCCTCGGTGATGCACATCCATGATGTCTCCATAGGGGACAGAAACGCAGAATCTTCGGTCTCGCAAGCGATCGCTTTACAGTTGATTTGGCATCCGACGGTGTACATATATGACTTCAATCAACTTACAATATTACCCAATCATCATCCATTACATGCAATGGATAACAATCTCCCACTCGACGTTGTTGAACTCCACTGATTATAGCTTCGCACTAGAATGCTTGGAGTCGCATCTTGAATTCAGTTATTAATTAACATATGATTATTCTCAGTATAGATAAAATCATTCAAATGCCAGAGGAGTTTCCGAGTAACTCAGTTCAATGCCATTAGGTTTTGAGTGATGTTCTAGTTAAAATCAGTTCATGATTTAAAGTACAAAAGTCCTACAATCTTCACAAATCTCTATGCATTGATATTATTGATAACTGTTTATGATATATAAATGTATACAGTGTGAAATTTCAGCAAATCATGTATGTATGTGAATGTGAATATTTTGTAAAGAAATCATGAATCTAACAAATCACCATTCAGTGTGTTGCGGTTAGATTAGGTTGAACAGTATTTAAAATTTCGTTGAGACTCTCTATTTTCAAGTTCGAGAGGTGTTCATCGCAGGGAAGAACAATTATTAGTCCACTTTTTAAGTTTAATGGTTTTTTAATGATATCGGTTGGTAAGAAAAGCTTTCCTCAAATTAATCCTTTCTTAAAAGCCACCGAATTGGTTGGTAACCTACTTTTTGTCCATTGGTAATTCACCTGAAATTATTTTTCTCAATGTTCCTAGAAATTTCGTTATTGGATCCAAAAAACAGTCAAGCTACAGTAGACGTTTACTGAAATAAAAAAATTAACTGTTAATGGTTAACCATCGATGTATTCATCATAACACCCAAACGACATTGCTCCATTCTCTTAAGGTATGGATGCTGTATACCGCATAGTACCGCTATGCCTTCGTTGTTGACTCCTTCCACTCTAATTTATTTATCTTAGTGCATGAAAAATCTTCAGACATTTGTTTTATAAACAAATAAATCAAGACTTATTTTTCTAAGATTCAATAACAAATGACTAGTTGCGCTAAAAAACGAGACTCAATAATTCGAATATTCAGTGTGTAATTTTAAGCAACACATTTAAACATTTGCTTATTCTCCTCTTATTCTAGACATTATGGTTTTTGTTATTTACGCTTTTATAGACCTCGTTTCACGAAATTTCATCATTGCCATGCGTTGCGGATCTGGTATTCCAGTAAAAAATTGTATACGTGGTTCTGATGGTCAACTGTATCGATTTATAGAATTCTGTGGGGATATTGTTTATCAAAGTACGTTATTGTTTGTTTAAATGCGTTACTATATTTAGAGAAAAAACCAACACATGTTTCTGTTTGCTGATAGATTTATTCTTCTTGTTTACATTTTCTTCCAAAAATCATTTCGAACCATAAAGAGATAATTATAATCCAAAAAGTTGTCAGCTTTGAGGCAAAATATATCATTTAAAAATCATATCATGTGAACTTAGGATTGTTAAATAAAACAAAATTGTTAATTTTGAGATGACTAACTTGCAATGTCAACTTGAATCAGCTTATACGTTAAGTGAAATTATGAGATTCATTAGCAGAATAAATATGGGTCACATAGGATGAGAGAACTAATAGTACAATTACAAATTTATTCCAATGTCCAATAAAAGACTATATTGTGTATAAAGTTATATGAAATCAGTAAGTGGTAAGTGCTAGGTAGATTTATCCTATGTTCGAGAGACTAATAGCAATGCTAAACCAATAATGATAATAATATAAAGATATGTGAGTAAATATAACGAAGGGGATTATATTTAACTAAGAACGGCTGTAAGTACATTAGTCAGACTAGCTAATTCACTAGTTAAGATTACTATTAATTAAATAGTCCTGATATTGGTCATTGCAGGAGAAGAGGTTGGAGATATTTCTTTTGTACACACAGCTACGTTTTTTTAATCTGGATGGCATTTGCCTATGCCTGTTGATCAGATTTAACTTTATGCATTCTAAACTTAATCATGATGTTTATTTATTATTGTCGTACTGATAATTTTTGAACTATTACTCCCGTACAATTAGATGATAATGATTGTTCCGAAGCTTATTATTTATTCCGTGGTGTCTGTCGCCCTTTGGATATAGCCTGTCCAACTGTTCCCGATAATTCATTTGACAAACCCACGTCACCTAATAAAACTATCAGTTCTGATCATGTTACTTTACGCATTGGAGTGAATACTTTGTCAATAACAGAAGTTGTTGGAAAGTGAGTGCTACTATTCTTCTTGCTTCTGAATAAGTTATTGACTGTTTTCATTTATTACATAACAGTATAATATAATCGACAAGCATTAGGTCTAATGATCAAGTTTAGTTAACTGCAGAGTGAAAGACCCGCAGAACTGATTTCTTCAATTTCCGATGACATTTAATCATGCATATTTTTTCTAAGTTAAACTCAGGAGTCAATCTAAGCTAGACCACCATTGAAAACCTGAAAGCACTGGACGGCTATTTCGTCCTAGTATGGGACTCCTCAGCAGTACGCATCCACGATCCCACACGCGGGACTCAAACCCAGGACCTTCAGTCTCGCGCGTAAACACTTGACATCTAGACCACTGAGCAGGCATCTAACGTTGTTAATGGTTAAATTCGATCGGTCCATGATCTTGCGCAACTCTTCATTCATTGTCTGAGGTGAACAAATGTCTCACACTCAACATGGATTGGACTCCACTGGTCACGGCTTGTGACTAGAACTCCAGGAAACTCATCTTGAACCTAGTCACTAGTGAGCACATGATTATTGTGGAGATTGTAGTATTTTAACGGTTGAATTCACGAGTCACTTAACATTATGACCTTTATGTTTTTCATTTTTGTAATGAACGAGAACACATGTGGGGACGACTAATTTATTGTTTAATACAAAACTACAGAATATCTTGGTAAAATATGAGAACCATACATTGAATAATTCATTTGTAAAATCCCATCATTTGTCCTTCACACTCCGTATGATCCTTCCAGTTCACAATTCCTTTCAATTTCCATTTCTGTTTTCTTCAACTCGATCTTTTTAACCTTCTACTGCCAGCCATTCAACTTTTGATTGGTGTAACATACTGCTTATGTCGACAGGCATAAGTAGCATATACCACAATATTTTCAAAGTTGAATTCACGAGTCAATCTAAGCTGTCAACATATTTGATATATAAGGATACTATTCTATTAGAAAAAAGACCTATTCATCTGATTAGTGGTTTTATCAGCAGCCATCACTCAGCCGTATGGTATCATGGAATATTACCTATCAATAACCATTCTATTTATTCATTTTTACAACCGGAAATTCGTTTATCAGACCAAAAATTTTACTCTTAATAATAGTGATAATATAGAAATCTATTGTTAAATGTGGATTACATTGGATAGGTGCAAGTAATTATATATTTAGTTAATCCAATCCCAAATAGGACTTATTAAAACACTCCCAAATAGTACACCAGTTACAAATCATTAATGTAAAATAAAATACAAATGTAACCCTCAGTTCATGCGAAGATACCGTTGTATAACCACTTTTTCAGTAACTGCTACAGGTCCTACATCTACTTTAACTTGAATGTCAATTACCCAGTAAGTAAATACAAATATTATTTTCCTCAAGCTGAATAAAGAAAAACGCATTTAGATTTTCTACACCAACAAATACAGCACCGAAACATAAATTCGTCTACAGTACATTGGGATTCATATAAACATATTTCAACTCCGTAACGCAAATCAGTCTGCTTTTAATGTTAAGTTGACATACCCTGTATAAAATCTGCCTTTCAATACAATAAATCATATACAATTGTCTTACGATTGGCTGAAACGGTTTTAGATCTCAAGGCCTTTTTGCAACATAGCTGTTTTACCATAATCCATCCTCTTCTAACTAGTTTAAAAGGTTTACCCAAGAGAGAATTTTTACCAGTACACTCGACTGACATCAGTTTGTCGTCAACACCATCTATTTCATCTTCGGAAGACATGCTTTTTAATATAAACTGTGACCCTAGTGTCTGTTCGTTCGTCTGTATTACCAATAGTGTTTGTATAAAGCTCCCTATACTTGTGATTTTCCATCATCTCTCTGTAGCCCGTTTCATGCAGTGCTTCGTTCTTCCGTATCTCCGAGTGGGACTAAACACCGAAACTGTGCATACACTACATTAACATCTAATCATTGTTCTCGGAGTAGAAGTACCGTAACAATCTCTAACTTTTTTTAACACAACTTTCTGGGTCTATGTTTTTAAATAACTCATAGCCATCAATCTACAATATATACATATTAAACACATTTTTTATTCACTTTCTCTTGAGTTTTCCTAACTATTTCAATGCATTTTTAAACATACCTACGCAGTTATTCTTGATGGTATTATATTTTTCATCCTATATTTATTTATTATTGCCCAAATTTCTTCAGTTCACTGTCAATACTTGGTTGGGATGCTAAAGATTTGTTGGACAAACATGTTGAAGAATTTGTTACCATTCCTGAACAAAATATTGTCACACACGCAATACAAGAAAGTAAGTTACAGACTTTTATTTACATGAAAATCTTTTTACATTTTATGGACATAAGTCATATGTATCACTACGGATACCGAGTTTTCTCCCTAAATATTTATTCATCATAGGTCAGATTCTGTCTTTCTAACAGTTCGCGGTTGCGTCGAAAGTATTAAAATAGACATCATTGAAAAATGATGTGCTTTGCCACATCAGCACGACGAGATAGAAACAAAAAGATGAATTGTGGGAGTCTAAAGGGATGTGGTAGTATTGGAAGTCAGAAAGACTAAATACTGGAAATATGGTTTAAAAAGACATAGCGGAAAGATATGTGTCGACGAATAATGGGATTCAAGATCCAGAGGAAGATAAAGAGTGGATGCATCTGTGTCATTGTGGCAACTACTAGCCACGGTTATCATATGGACCTTAATTAGATAGTCCTCATGTACTAGCACAGCTCAGGCCAACAGTCAGTCAATTTATGGACTGATACCGAATCTTGGTTTGACCTTACCCAACTTTCACCAGCTAAAATAACTCGTCTTGGTAGGCATACGTTACACATGTCCTAATCAGGAAAGTTTGTGAAGTTACTGATGGCTGGTATGCGCCACGTAGAGACTTCTAAACCTTGGGAAAATTGCAATGCAGACCTCGATACTTTGAAAAAAAACACCTGAATTTCATTCAGTATTGAACTTGTTTGCATTCAGTAATTATAATTAACTTCTTTATTATATTATAGCTGTTAAAAATGGCTTATCTACAATATTTATTAATTGGTTAAACCATGGGAAAACAAAGTCAGTGTACTTGAAAGCTGTGTTTACAGCCATCCAATTGAATACCTTTCTTTACTGTATTATCTGCAAGCTATATTCAACTGAGTAAGTTACTTTTCTTCCCATCAAGTATACATTTAATTACTAATACCGAAGTTGAAATCAATAGAAAACATGGACAACCGTAATATTGTAGATAGTAGACTTTGAGTAGATAAACCGAAACTCGTATTTTCTATTCAAAATTAATCATACGTTTAGAATTCAGCCCGATAATTTGAATTGTTAGTTATACGATATATATACTTGTGCTATATATATGTGAATCGAATCTTTATAGACTAATTGATTTAAGCTCATAAAACACTTGTTCTTCTCAACTAATAAGCAATTTCAACTATTTAGTATTTTTGGAAGGTTATCCAACACATTTTATCATTACAGTGTTATAGAGATTGTTGAATTTCATTGAAATCACGAACTAATCAAAGTTGGTTGTTTAACTTCGATCGCTTCGTGATTTCAATATATGTTTACGGTCCATCAGCTTCGTGTTTGTTATTAACGAGAAAACTAACACGCAGTTAACATCGTTCTATATATCAATCAGTAATACTCACAAATTAGATGAGTGACATTGACATGTTTTAGTGGGCTGATCAGTTTCCGTTTTAACAGTGTCAAACATTTTTCAGGATGACTTTCTGACTTGTAGAATTTTTTATGACATAACCCTACTTTGTTTAAAATCTTCTAAGCAATAGAAAGTCACTTCCAATCAAAAGGTAACCTAGCGATTAAAGCATTATGAATTTGAGCCCTACCTCACCCATTTCATTATGAGCAGATGGGTAGCATCCTTGTCATCTATACGAATTATGGATCGAGGATAAATACATAGACCTGTGTGATAAAGTTACATATAAAACAATGAAAAAGTAAAAAAAATTGAATAGTATACACCTTTCATTTTTAGATTTCCTGCGTTAACTCAATCCAAACCAGAACCACAGACACCGGTTTTCAAATCACGAGAGTACTCAGAATTACAAGTAACTAATAACGAAACAATTGCTCCATTTGACTGGAACGATTCATTTAACTACAACACTACAACTAAAATGAAATCAACTGAATTTTCAATGGGATCATGTCAGCATACAACTAACAACAGCATTAACAATACACCAATCTGTAGACCTGATACACTAAACGTTACAGATGAACATCATATTGATCTAGCGAAAACCGATGGGGATGGACATTTTCATGCTTTGGATATTCCATACAGATCTATGCAGGTAATGAAATTTCATTTGGTCCTGTATGACTTTAATAGAGCATTAATGATTAAGAAAAATTCAATTTGGTGCAAATGACAATTTAATAATTATAAATCGCCTTTTTTGTATGTTAGCTTTTAGTACTAAAATAGTAAAATGCATTTTAACAATATTTTTTATTAGGAAACAAATGGACAATGTTCAGTAACTAGTATATCCAATAAAAATGACACAACGCATATTGCTCCATCTACATGTACTTATGGTGAACATTTTGAAACACTTCAACATCCTATTTTCGCTCTTGATGCAGATGACATGGTTTCTGTTGAAGCTAATCAAACAAGTGACTCCAAATACTTGCCAGATAATAGTATGTTTTAAAAAAAATTTTGTTACATCAAACTATTTATATTCATATGTAAATACCTTTTGGACCCGTGTAAAACGAACCGAAATGCGAGTAGCTAATAAGACCGTATGATGGACAGCCTATTCTTGACATTATAATTCCATTGTTATTTACAAGGAAGATCACATGCAGAAGTTCACTGTGAAAAACGAAAACTGCTTATCTTGATATTATTATTCCGAAAATATGTGGATAGTTTTTTAATTAGCGATAATGCATAACAGCTATTATATTGCATAGACTTTCCGAGTTTAACATACAAATCAATAAAATGTTCTTCCCTTCAAAATAACTTCACAGATATATGAACAGTTACCTTAAAACTGACTCCATGCAATATAGTACATTCGTCATCACCAAGTAGGGTAATAAAAAAGCACTGGTGAAATACAGACTTCAACCATGAAATTAATGAACTTTAAGTTTCATTTTGTTTGACAAAATATTGGGATAACTGACGTTATCGAACTAATATGTTACCCATAAATCAGATGACAGGATTACTGGGCAGTTAAATAATTTTAGTTGAGGATAGAAGTTGTCAATTTTTACAAAACCCACCGGATGATAAACGATTGATCAGAAAATGAAAATATTACAAAGCTACTAACGATTCGCAACAGTATTCACAAGATATATTTTAAACTCACGGTGGTCCTATTTCTAACAGGATATTATAGTAGTTAATTAATATAATGTTTACTGCAGAAAGTCATCTTCTCTTAGTGCCCTATAAAGTATTCTAGTCTAACCGACTAAAATAATTTCACTGAATGTTATCATCACTGGTTAATCTGAAGTTTCTGGGTTCTATTTTGTGCAAGTACTCATGAACGGTTCTAAATTAAGATGGAACAACTGATCCGGTAGAACCTAGTTTTCAGGTCGATTTCAATAGTATCTTCAATTTTTTTATTACGTTGACCGTTATATCTTGATATGATGAACTCACTGTTCATCCTATTCATTGACAATTATTTGATTCAACTAACTGAACTAATTCAATTTTTTTAATACAGCAAATGACTTAAAGTACAATAATAACGATGGACAAGATTGGCGCCAACTTCCATTGAATACTAGTTTCAGTAGTATGTTTTCTGAAAGTGGACTACCTGAATTATTCAGTTCTGATTATATAAAAGATTTGATTGAAGAAGATGTAACCGACCTGTGATATGTTTTTTTTGTTTCAATAGTTTCAAAACCTTTACTACCTATGAAGTATGTGCAATCATCCTTTTTTTAATTTTAAAACTTGATTAGAGAACAATTATTATTTTTCAAACGACTGATTTCACTGACTGCATAATTATCCTCTGTACAACATACAAAAAATATTCTTGTGAAGTGAAAATTCTTGATTTCCTAATATATTTTGTATTAAATGATCTTGTGAATGATATTTGCAAATTAGTTAAATGAATTAAAAACAGACTATATGGACTACCTTTACTACTGGTCTATTGCCATATAAATGTTACTGCCAGACTTGAAGAAGTATGTTTAGTGCTCTTCTAATTATTTGACACATGTAATTACTATAGATTAAAAGGATAATGATTCATAGGCTCAAATCTTTGAAACCAGTAGAACTTGGTGTAAAGGGGTTGATTAACCGACAAGGTCAGGAGTAGACGATGAACTCTCAGAATGACTGAGAGTATGACACATGGAATAAAAGTTGGATTAGTCTCGATAGTCTTATTGGTACGCAAGCTTGACGGTTAAGGTTAAGGGAAGACTAGTTCACGTCAGTCAAACAAAAAATGCTGATGAACACTTATTTGATTCTGAACCACTAAAAAGCGACCATGGTCTTTCCGTTTATCCCTCATAATAGATGTGGCAAACACCAACAATCTTACAGAAATTATAAGTCGGAAACTCATCCAGTTCATGGGGATTACACACTGAAATCTTTCCGCAGTAAATTTTAAGTCTCGATAAATACCTTGGATAACACGTCGGCCTGTATTTTCCAATTAAGTTCTACTTTCAGCCAGGATTTCAAAAATATTTCCTACAGTTCTTATGGAATTTTTCGATAGTGTAAAGTGCACATCATACGGATAAATGTTATCTCTGAACACAAAGACCAATAGTTTTATATATCAAAACTAGAGTGACTGGCTTATGGACAAAAAGACATCATTAAATTAACAAAGATTAAAAAAGAGTCACGACATTAGGTGTGGTTCGCATAAATATATATCTACAGAATAACCTATTCTGTTGCATGCAAAGTTTTATAAAGACGAATCATACCGCCGTTAAATGCTTAGGAGGGACTGAAGCCTACCACATCACTAAGATTGGTGTAATCTAGTTGCACAAAATGGGGGACGAATTTATCTGTTGCTAAAAACCTTGATTACAACACCCAGAAGTGTACAAGAGGATGCTTTTAGAGGTTCATTTCCCCATAGGATGAAAAAGACAACATTATTGAGAATCCAAGTGACCTAAATTAACCTACTACTGCTGATTTGCTTTAGAAGTGTTTAAGACACAAGCAATTATTCACACTGCATTAAAAACGGGTTTTGTTTTAATTCATACACCCTTAGCCACAACCAACTTTAACCCACAATGTTAACTGACAAATGATTAAGCTGAATACCTCCCGGATGTAACTCGCACAATATTTGGAGACGCTGGGGAAAAAAATTTGAAATAGGTTGGAGTGGTACAGTTGCAATAATTTCATTTCACTCTAAATTTCAAGTCCATTGTTATCCTAAACTTTCCACCTCTCAATCTGATTTGCTTCTTTTGAAATAATTCATTACATTTAGCTTTCAACTGCAAATAGTATTATCTCTTCTCTTCTTATTGCCATCTGGTCAACCTCCTATCATTGTGCTGATATGAAATGTAGTCATTTAGACTGTTATATATTCATTGTCTAAGACTGACCAGAATGTGGGTACTTTGAAAAATATGGACAAAAATAAGCAAAAATGAAAAGTCGGCAACTGTTAAACCACCTTGTCTGAAGCATTTAAATTTTACTGTTTTTAATAAACACGCTTCTGTTTAAGATAAACCGTTGAGTGTGATACAGACCTAAACATACTAGATGTACTCTAATTGCATTTACATGCTTAGGTTGGACACATGCGACTCAAGCGAAGTTTTTCTGTAAATTACCAACCATATCGGAGTGTGAATATGTATTATATAAAGTTATTTGCCCGGTACTACAATTCTTCTGGTTTGAGTGTGATAGTAGCAGGGTCTATCCCCACTTTACTTAATATTTCTTGTTCAGTTGTTTTTTCTCCAGAAAAAGAAATCAGTTCTTGTAGTGCCTTCCAAGCTGCTTTCTTCCATTTGTTTGTAACCGTTTCTAAATTTACCATTTCATTCTAAAATAAATCAGTGGTTGTAACTTACCCCACTATCGTATCGACACAACAGTTGTAGCTTTCTTAATACTTCTTTTTCATCATCGCCTGATATCCCTCTAATTCTTGGATTAACGTACTAAAAATAAGTTGAATATATATAAGTGATTACTGGTTGCTTTTTTGCACTCGTCATATTTTGGTCACATGTGTGATTAACAGATTTAGACTGATTTCTAAATGGAGGAAAAGTGTACAGAAGATGACTTTGTGCTACTCACATGAATTTAATGTAATACTTAAACTATTCATATTACACTAACACCGAGGTCATTACGATAGTTTTTTTAAATAAAAGTGATTTTATGTATGCTTATCATATTTGCATCGACATACTGCTTGGGCATGGTTTTTGAACTTATTCAGACTTTATTTAATTATTTATAATAGGACCATCTTTGATTTGTTTCTCCCTTGTTTGTTCATGTCAGTGGCTATTTCATTATTTTCTGGAGAATTGTTGTTCTTCAACTACATGGTGCTGTGGGCTAGTGGGACCCCGCCCCATGAACTAAAGCGAGGGGCTAGTTGACGATCAGACTGGTCACTTGCTCTGCTGATTACAAAAAGCCTAATTATACAAAGCAAAATTTGGCTTATAAAATGTCAGAGGATGGTCCCAAGTAGCCGATAGGAAGCAATGCGTGACAAAAGAATTACAAGATAAAATACAGTAATCGGACCTAGAGACTAAACTAAAGCAAAATAAAATCCATATATGGTACGTTAAAGACCAAAACCCAACCACTAAAATAAAGAGAATTATTCAGAGTCAAATAGACAACGGAAATAATCACAAAACGTCGGATGCGCCAACTACAACTGTGCATGGATTCACTGAAAGCAACTTTCTCCCAACTATTTGAAACACTCATTCAAAAAAAAGATTCAATAGAAATAATAAAAATGAGTCAACGATTTATAAGAATATGCTAAATGTACGAATAAAGACCGACAGAATGCTTGCAACAATGAACAAGCATTTCGGAAACTATCACGCCTCAGCCTAATTAATAATCATAAACCTGGACAAACACAAATGTCCGCTCATTGACTACTTTAAAATCTTTAGAACAAAAGCACATCCAAACGTCCCATATTCAATACGAACAAATCGGAACGCTTCAAACAGCACACGCAAATCCAAAGACCAAAGTAAATGAACAATTGAACTAACCACATAATAACAATGAATATCAGTCCTCATCCAGAGACTGATATGGAAAGGAGTTATCAGCCATTTTTATACACCGTACAAATGATCGGCAATTACCGGACAGGGAACAAGACAGAAGCAACTGGCGCATATGTAGTTGTGCTGTTTCATCAATGAAACCCTTCAGAAAGGCAACTAGTTTCGCTAATACCAAAAGGACTGGAAATTGAACGACCATATTGCTCTACTTACATCCTAGATGTTGGGTAAGGGAATGGTACACAGATAACTCGTGGCAAAAGTTTGTAAACGGCTTCGTTGCACGAAGGTATTAATAATTAGGCCCACTGAAGTCGCCTACATAAATTCGAACAGGATTTTAGACAGTTAAATGGGAATTTATTAGCCTACCATCTGAAGGTTTACTATAGTAAGGTCAATTCAGCATAATATTATTTTAGTTTTGCATGATCCTGTGTTGGTTTTTATGCTTTTTTTCTGTTGTTCCACTATCTCCACAGATTATTTGGATGTTATTTTTCGCATACAGTATGATTGTTATGCCTCTGTAACTTAATATGTCAGTTCTGCAGAGTAGGTAGCCCGGGATTCGCACTTCGATATCACTTATCTCTTAAGGGAGCCAGGTTTCTGAGATAAGTTTTCAATCCCTAGCTTTATTGTTGAGTTTGTAACTGGTGCGTTACGTTTAGTTTCGACTACAAAGACACCAGGCAGGTTCAAATTTTCCATTTTTGTTTATCTCTAGGTTGCCTTACAAAATGTTGAAGTGGATTCCCAAGGTTTGCACATGTTTCTAGGCGGTAATTTCCGCTGTGCAGTGGACTTTAAGACTACGGTTGTCATTGCATGATTGTTTACAATGTGCATAGTAGATTATCTGTCAAAGACTTTACACTAGCTAGATTATGTTTAGACGTAGTTTAGGATTTGTTTATGAGTGTTTCCGACTTGCGGAAGATAAATAAACCAAGTCTTTGCTGTGTGCATGCTTAAGAAGACAGCTTCTTAAACGCACCAACTGGTGGAGCCAATAATAATTGTTCAAGTGGGGAGTTTTGGTCGATGACTGTCCGATACATCACATCGAACATTTCTTACATATCGGAAAAGCCAATTCCAACTTTATTATTCACCAGCTGTTTCTAGAAATTTCTTAAGATCTAGAAGAACGTAATTACTAACCACCAAAGACGATTATCATGATGAGTTGACTGAGCTTATTTATTTTGTGTTGATAATTATCCCTATAGACCTTAAAAGAGTAAAGGTTTCCAGACCAGAAACATTCCATGAACATACAAACTATTTGGTTTTAATCAGCATTATATTACAGTATACTCCTTTTCCTTAATACATTATTGTCAAATTAGTGGATTGCATCTGACCTAAAGGTACTTTGGGTGCTGAAGGCGAATGGTGTCAGTGAAGAGAACTCGGGAAACAAGAGGAAAAGTGAGCCAGTGGATCAGTATGCACATAAGACGGGCTAGCATCATATATTTAAAGCGACCGATAAAAATCTTTAATATTATGGGACTAACAGTAAAAAACAACAAGAAGAAAAAAATGATAATTTGGATCCGTAATAAAGTATAACGTTCAGTCTTTGAGAGGATCACGTCTAAATCGAATGTGCTTAGTGTGCTGAGGTTGAGTGGCAGTATATGGAAGTATTTAGGAAAGAGAAGAACGGTGAGACTAAACTAGACGAAACAAAGAGATTTCAAATAGAAATTATTGGATTTTGGAGCAAGACTCACTAGCTAAGTCCAAACATGGACTAGTCCATAGGCCTATATAGCATTTCGGCATCACAGCTAATGTAAGGTCATCATTAAAACAGTAAATGTAATTCGCAACCCCGAAGTAATACCATACATCCTGGCCCTAAACTCTCAACAGTAGCAAGTAGGTCACTTTTGAAGCACACAAGGTTGTTCGTGAACCAAAAAATAAGGGATAAATTTAGTCGACAACCTTACAAGCACACAAAATGAAAATAACTATAAATGACACATTCATGATATTAAGACAACCTGATAAGCAAAACCAGGTATCGATAACGTGGGCAAGGTAAAAACGGTAATCCCTTTCAAATCTGTCCGCCGTTTCGTTTCAACGACCTTGAACGCGCTGACTGGAAGCGGGCATTCCGTATTTCAATTGCCGTGTGTGTGTTGGGTCCTATGAGTATTAAATGTTTCCATATATAAGTCATCTTTTGATGCATAATAAACACTAAATAACTGCTAAGAGCATTAACTGAGTATTTTCTGTTTTGTAGTGCACACTTTAGCTCTGTTATTCCTTCGAAACTTGATCTGTGGTCCTAAGTGCTGTAGTGAAAGTCTGTAGTGACTCACATTTATCACGAGAACACGACTGGTTTAATAAAAACAATTATTATTATAACCAAGTGTACCAGTGACTGTTTTAATGTGCTTTTGTTTGACTGTGCTAATGACAGCTATTTTGTTCTTCCATTCTTTACTTACTCTTTGATTGTAACTTCGCGCGAATTCGGTTACGTTCTGTAACCAAGATTGTATCCTGGCACGATCTCGGTATCCTTTCGATGCCACGAGATCGCCAGCTACTAAACATCGACTTGGTCCATTAATTGCCTTCTGGTATTCGGCTTCTCGGGGATTTTATGGAGTCATTTGGAACGAGCTACTTACGCTTTCTGATTTATCTGGCACGTGTTTCTTGGTAGCGGTGTTCATAGTTAATCTCAACTCGACGCCACGCTACAATTGGTAATCCCAACTCGACTACAATTGGTGACCCGTATTTTGGAACACGCCTCAACTTCTGATCAAATCTTCCAAAGAAGCCAATTCGGTGAGTCTATGATTTATCTATCCACGTCTGTCGTATATTTTCATATTTTTTAATATATAATATACGCGACATGACGGATAGCGATAAGAATAGTATTAATATAATAGACTCACACGTATGTGTACCGAATCCTTGTCACTTTTTATTCGCGTGATGATGAATTCCACGCTTTATTCGAGAAATGTTACCCTATTAACGATTCTCTTCGCTGACCCGGCTGCTTGGTACGGAATGCATACGCATAAGCATATCCGTCTACCACCCAGCACCAAATGGTTAAGTTGAACGGTTTCACTGCCAACTTAAAAGTGTTCTACGAGCACACGAAAACGGCAACTGGCACGAAACCTTACCGCTCGTTCTTTTAGGGGGAGAACGAGCTTAAAGGCAGATATCCAATGTTCCGCCACTGAACTTGTATACGGCACGACATTGCGTCTGCCCGGAGAATCCTTCACACCACGGAGCAGACCTAATTTCGGTAAATCAGACAACGTCCATCGACTGTCTGCATTTATGTGAACGCTGTCTCCGGTGTCAACTCGAATACAACATCGACAGGTCGCTCTCCCTCGAGAGTTATCTACCTGTTCACATGTTTTTGTACGAGTAGATTCGGTACGCAAACCTTGGCAACAACCTTACGAAGGCCCTTTTCACGTGATCGCTCGTCACGAAAAGACCTTCAAGGTTGATCGACATGGACGCGTCGAGATCGTCAGCGTTGATCGTCTCAAACCAGCACACGTCGATGACAGTGCCCTATCTGGTAACCTGAGATTCAATGCTAGACCTATTAAACCTAGCGGGATCCTTAAATCTTCAGGTCCCACGCTAGATGCATCTGAGACCTCATTCTCACGTCCCGGTCAACAGCACGCGTCATCTGCACCGTCTACGGACGAGACGATAGTCTCACGTCCAGATCAGCAGACCACGCCGCCTCTGACCTCGGATGAGATTGCAGGCTCACGCGACGCGAACGAGACTGCCGTCTCACGTTCCGGTCGCCGAGTACGGTTACCCGTACGCTTCCGCGAATAGTCGCACAGTCAGCTACCGATACGGTGTAGGATTATTCCTATACTACACGTATGCTACACTCTTCTTTTTTGATTTTCTTTTTGTTTCCTGAGCCCACGCCTTCGACCATCTCCGTTTGGTTCCGTCGACTTCAGTCAACTTTGGCGAAAGCTGGATTGGCCACCCATGCTCTTGTCAACGCACTCAGTCGATATATTGGTTTCGAACGCTTGGCACACGCTTGGTCTCGAACTTGGTCGTTACGGTCGCTTCTGGTCTTTTGGCTCAACGTGGTTTCGTCCTTCGTCTGCAGCGTTCCTGGTCCGCACCCTACGAACGCCCTCTTCAGATTCTGGATACAAACCACTCTCGTGTAGCATGCCAACTCGAGCAATCAATACAACACATCACTCCTGGTACTGTTCTCCGAAAACGACCTTCGTTGGCAACTCGACGATCAACGATCGCTTTCCTGTTCGCCAATCTTTCCGTCCTACAATCGCTCGTCAGCCGATCAGTCCCACGATTCAAACCGCTATTTATCGAAAGTGTAAACCCTTTCTAGCGGGGGGCTCCTGTAGTGACTCACATTTATCACGAGAACACGACTGGTTTAATAAAAACAATTATTATTATAACCAAGTGTACCAGTGACTGTTTTAATGTGCTTTTGTTTGACTGTGCTAATGACAGCTATTTTGTTCTTCCATTCTTTACTTACTCTTTGATTGTAACTTCGCGCGAATTCGGTTACGTTCTGTAACCAAGATTGTATCCTGGCACGATCTCGGTATCCTTTCGATGCCACGAGATCGCCAGCTACTAAACATCGACTTGGTCCATTAATTGCCTTCTGGTATTCGGCTTCTCGGGGATTTTATGGAGTCATTTGGAACGAGCTACTTACGCTTTCTGATTTATCTGGCACGTGTTTCTTGGTAGCGGTGTTCATAGTTAATCTCAACTCGACGCCACGCTACAATTGGTAATCCCAATTCGACTACAAGTCAACAGCTATATATAATTTGTTGATAAGGTCCAGAAAACAACGTAAGAAAGATAAAATAACGTAAAATGTCATAGATGCGCATAGTTTTTGTGAGTTAAGACGAAATGTCAACTGAAGGGTAAGTCCTAAATATTTGTTGTTCTTCCTTCAGTTAATTTTTTTCAAGGAATAACCTTTTTTTAATAGCTATTGTATGTTGTCTCTAGTGCTTCATGCTCAAGTGAAATTTCAGTGAACGTAAGCGACGCATTCCAACGTATTATGCTGAATAAGAGATTCGGAAGCTGGATTGAATTAGATAATGCGCTAAAGGATTTCCATAAAGTATGATGGGATAAATCTATGTTTTCTCAGATGACCCATACACACTATGTTCACGCAGAAAGTAGATTGTTGAAGGATGTGAGATATAAATACTTGTTCGTAGTGTTTCGTTGCACGTTTGGTCGTAAACGTAAATCAGAAGGTCTGAATGTGAATAAAAAACCGTGAGGATTCTAACTAATGTGTTACCTTTAAGGTCTAAATTTTTAAATTGCCAATCGATGTTTCGCGTAAGATTGGAGGGTCAACAATACGTTATAAAATCTTACAACATGACTCACAACCATCCGTGTACTAGTTCGTGGATGGTTTGTGATCCGTTGAGTAGACGATTGTCATCAGAAGAAAAAGAAAACTTGAAACCAGTTATATTGCACTGTCAGTCGACGGACGAAGTTATCGAAAGTATTAAGGAAAGAACAGGTAAGCAGGTGACCGCTGCTGATGTGAAAAATATGAAAGCTGAACTCTCCACTGGTAAGTGTATATAAATATATTTCAGGTTGGACTCGGAAGCAGGTATTGCAGATGATGCGACAAAACGATGAAGTTAGAGAGCATGCAGAAAATGGATCTATTACGGCGATATGCTTCAGCAGTCATGATCAGATGCGGCTGTACAATCAATATCCCGAAGTCGTGTGTATTGATTCTACTTATAAAACTAATAATAAAAAGTGAATATGATTTTCGTTTTGTTCTACTACAGAATAATAAACCGCAGAGACAGAGTGATAGGCCAGTACCTATCACGTTTCTGGATGCCACGTAAAACAATGTGGGCGCGTACCTTTTACGGCAGTGTATTAACTTTGGGTAACAACACGAATAATCGTGTTGAGTCATTAAATAGGCAGATTAAAAGATATGTACGCAAAAGCGACCGCTTGCACAAATGCATGTACAAGGCTTTTAAGTGGAGTTCAATGACATTCTCTAGAAAAAGCATGGAAGACCAAATAATCAGTGGACGAACATACAATTATGATGCTCCACAGCGTCTTATACCCTTGCTGAACATGTTGACCCCATTCGCAAGATCCAAAGTGTTATACGAACTAAAAAGAATGCGTTTCGTTAACTTAGAATTTGAAAGCGGCGAGTGGTTGTTTATGCTTGACCGCGGACAACATTACGAAGTAGATGTAAGTATTTGTGAATGCAATTGTAGCACGTTTAATATGTGTCGATATCCGTGCCGCCATCTCCTGCTGGCATATATTAAAAGACGAAGTCTAACAGGTAAGCTATTTAAATTATAAAATATAAACTGCATAGCTCATCAACTTCTTAGGTGTTGCTGTAAATGGAAATTAGACAATACGCACAATTTACAAAACAACACAGTAATTTCATTACAGAGACGAAGTAAAGAATATATACAACTTCAACGGCTCCAAAGAATGTGCAAACAACGAATTGTTGAGAAATATGGTGAACGCTTCGCGAATCAGGTGGAGAGAAGGGTCTACAATTTTTACTTAAGAATTATAAACAGCTAGACAGCAGGTTTACGATTAACAGTTCTTTGTGGCTTTATTTTATACCACTATTTATACAACTTGTAAACTTATCTTTCCACTTTAGTAGTCATGAAAAATCAATAAACTTTTTCTCATTTTTTATTTTCGTCTTCTTCATACTTTCATGGGGAGGTTTACCAATCGCTTTAACGAATAATTGTGTGTGAAAATTAAGAATTTGTACTACTGTATTAGTTACGAACTGTCGTTAGAACTTAGCGTTATATCGTTGTTCATTGTCAGGAATCAATGAGTCAAATAAAACAATAATGCGACTTCCACGTAAAACCTTACAGATTAAACAACCGCCTTACATATTTTCCGTTGTCAGATTACGTCCATTATCAAGTTAGTATTAGTATGGAACTAGACAATTTCATGCAGCTAGTTCCTTGATAAGATGGATTACGTAATCCTTAGACCACCCTTCCACTCACACTTCTTTGCTAAATTATGTTAACTCTTCAGATTGTCTTCACTTATCTTATTAGTTCTTAATTCAATGATTTATTCATTACATCTAGAATTATCACACAATTTATCTTATATGCTTCTGAGCTTCACTCGACTATTACACCACCCATCCTTTATGTTCCCTTAAGTCTAACACCAAATGACCTTTGACCTGTTCAAGCATATACATATGTATAGTTATTATTGATAACCTAGGTCATTCCAATTCTTTGCTTTCTATTATATTTCATACTATTTCTTCCCTCAATCTTAAATTATAATCCATATTCAGTTGTATGCAACTTATAAGAAACCACGAAATGTAATGCAGTCACATGATTCTGCGTCAATATTTGTTTTGGCTTTATTTAGACCATAATTATACAAACTTACAGGATTTATAATATAAAACACTGCGTATGGTTGTTATATTTATATTTAAATAATTCATTAGATGAATGAGCATAGCAGTAGGTAATATAAAACAGTAATCGTAAACTTGTAAACCGGTTTTCCACACGATCTTCCGTAATCCTAAATTCCATAAGCTTCATACTATTCTGAAAAGCAACAAATCCGTTTTGAGACAAACAATTAAACTTTGTTCTCAGTATCATATTCAATAAGTTATTCAAATAGCAAGTAACAGACTGTGCCTATAAGTCTTTTATTAACAAGTAGTGACATTCATTCATAACTTCCTAAGTAACACAACAACTGTATTACCGAGACGGAGTGAAGAGTATATAATAACTCATTTGTGAACCCTATAACAGACACCTCACAAATCAGTATTAACTAAAAAACATGGTTGTGTCACCATTCTCACAAGAAACACCGATCGTTTTATTCACGAAGATTTTGTTCCTACTTGATGTGGTGTTATACACTATTACTGCAGACGTTCAGAAAGCCGCTGGACAACACTATAAACGTCAATTGTTACTCACATATTTCTTTTCTTAGATACGTTACATAATTATGTCACTTCAGTACAAAACAATGGTACCTCTAATAAATATAACTTTTTATGGCTAAATACAAGCAAGTTATATAATATTCACAATTAGGTTAACGCTTGATTGCTTCTACTTACATTTTATAAACAACTACCGACATCCATGTCCACCGTCACCGCAATCAAGGAGGTGAACCATATGTAAAAGATTTTACGGTTCATTTTCATGAAAACTCAATCTGTGATGTATTTTTTGACTAGAAACACGGTGAACTTTACTTGCTTGAGTTTGTATTGTTACAAATAACTATATTAAGCTAACTTCAGATTTACTTACGTGGTGAGCAAGAAATACGTCAAACTGTCAATAAATTGGAATAAAAACTATGTTACAAGCACTAGCAATACAGAAATTGATGTGTCATGCAAAAAAGCCTGTTAATAGCTGATAAATAACGACACAAAAAATCCACGACAATATGTAACGTGTGCGCGAAAATCCCTGGCTTACCCGCTAGTCCGTGCCTAACGTGAGGTTTCGAACAACTTCAAATAGTTTTCAAAACTTTAAGGTCGTGGGAAACTAAGAAACAAACGATAATAACAAAAAGCGGAAAGTTCCTATGTACAGTGTTTTCAACACGAGCTTACCTCGTTCTCGAATCTTTATGATGGCAAGACTGCGAGTATCTACGAACCACAGTTACCCAAATTTCTAATCCTTTTGTTTCAAAGGATTTATAACGACGGTGTAATAACATGGATTTTCAGGTAAATGACTACCGAAATCAAATGATAACCTTCGGCCCTTGGATAATGCATGAAAAATGGCAGGGTGAGATCAGGGTTCAAAATGGAAAGATCATAGAAACTGCTGGCAACTCCAGAATGTTATATGTGCTATGAAATTTACTGTATTAAGGTACTCAGTTAAGTTATTATGTTACACGACCTGCCCTTAATAGATACATTAATTTCAATTTTCTGCACAAGAATATTATCAATCATAGAGATAATGAAGCGAATAGCGTGAAATTTGTCTCTCTTTTTGGAAGCTGATTTGTGATGAAAAACCTGTTCCAGTTCCACTTTCAGCTCGGAAAGTAAGATAATAAAAGCGAGGGCGTGGAAGATGCGAACCGATCATTAATTTGAAACCTGTGATCAAGTCACCTCCAATCTTTTTATATGACAAATGGGTTAGATTTAGTTGAACCAGTCTTTCGTCATTGCTTTTCAAACCAAAACATAGCATCAGTCAGTGAAATCATTGAAAGTTGGTCTTAACCATGACAAAACGTGAAGACCACCGTGTCTGGGTCCATGTGATTATCGTAACCAATATTTAGAGACTTTTGTTGATAAGGCTTGACCTTGTTTGTAATAATGCAGGTGCGTCCGTTCTTTGTCTTCTCCCAAATCATGGGATTCCGAATTACCCATAACCGTTGAGTCCTCGAACTGATTTCGTGGCTCACCGTTGGATACACTCTGGAGTGTCTTTATCCCTTTGGAGTGAGGGAGGAAATACTTTCGTGCCTTAAGGTAACCCTCGTGCTATTGATGGAAAAGATCAGACAAGTAGTGAATAGGTCTTTATTTCGATCTTCGCGCAGTCACAGTGGAGCGTGGGACTATTTGTTCAGGCAAACAAAGCCTCTCAACATTCAATACAAGATAATAGGAAATATAACGCCTATGCAAAATAAGGAAGTGAATGAATACTTGACCTCTACTGTTTTGGCATATGCTTGGTTGTTTGAGGTCAACTCTTAACAAACCAACCTATGATGTTACAAACCAATGTAATAAGACTTTGCAAATGTACGAACACCAGTATAGTTTGATATATTTGTCTTAAACTTAAAATGCTTTCCAACATGTAATCTTTCTTGGGTCAAATTTTTTCAGTTGGTAAGTCACAATGGCTGACGACACGTAAGCATGAAAACAGGAGATTCTCTGGATATTTTTCTCGAAGGATGTGCAATGTCACTCGGTTAAACACTCTTAGAATATAAAATATGTGCAAAGTTTGTATATTTTAGAGGAGGTCCGACAATGATAATTTATTATTATTATTATTATTATTATTATTATTATTATTCACAAACATCTTATGGGTACATAAGTGTTGTGAGGAAACCATTTCGGGTTTCTTCAAAAAATGCAATAATACACAATTTTCAATAATGTTAGCACTATACTTGCCACATTTAAAAAAATTTAGAGTAATAATAATAGAATATTAATAATAATAAATCGGGTCTGTGTAATTGAGAAGAATATTGAATTGAGTTTAAAGAAGGAAATGGAGGAAATAAGGGAACAGAAATAAAGGAGACGTGAAATACGCAAACAGTTTAATTGGCGTGTTTATGAACAGAAAACAAGAACAAACTACTATGTATATATCGTCAAATTAGTAACAAAAAAATAGTTAAGAAGAAACAACTTATTATTGTAGTAAGATATGACGCTAGAATAAATGTTTGTGCAGTTATAGTTTGGAGTGATGCTATGAAAGTCTCAATTAAATGAAAAGGATAATGAAATATCAATATGTATGAGACATATATGCATAGTGAAGATAAAACGGGTCTAAGAAGTTAATTTGAGTGTAACACAAGTTATTGTCTTAGTTACAAACTCCATAATCTTCAGAATAATATTTATTTGGAAGAGAAAGAAGAGAGAGAGAAAAGAAGTGAACACCTAGTGAAAAGTTTCATCCATGATAAGAATAATATCTGTGTGATGAATATCGACCTCAGAAGTAAACCAGCAATTGAGAAAAATAAAATAAAAATCCTTTAATGCACTCGGATGAATACATTTAGATTTATGTAATAGTATACAGAGTGAAACCGGATGTTAGTATAAATATTTGTGCAATAATAATTAAGATTGATGCTATGAAAGTCACAATTAATTTCAAAGGACAGTCAGGAATTAAGATAAAAAGATATAAAAGGAATATCTAATATGTCGGGGGAACAATAATGATATTAATAACAGTAATAATGATAAATACGAACATAAGCAGACTTCATATATTAAGATGAATAGAAATAAAATAAAATAGACGTGAAAAGATTCGAAGGTTTCATTTTGCTTTTCAAGCAATTAAATGGATGACGGATCTTGTTTGTATAAATCATTATTGAATACATTGATATTCAATAGGTGACATAATCCACTTTCGGAAAGAAAATCGTCAAGGAGACTTTTGAACCGGGTTGTAGTTTTACTGCAACGGAGGTTCACTGGCAGTCTGTTCCACATGGTTGAGTAGCGAATAAGGAAAAAATTCTGACGTAAGTTTGTGTGGGTTCTTGGAATCGCTAGAATGTTCTCCTTATTGCGTAGATTGTGGGATGATATTATAAGGTATGAAGGGGTAGATACCGATGAGTAGGAAATACCATTAATGAGCCGGTAGATAAAGACAAGATTTAATTTGATACGTCTGATCCAAAGAGGTTCTAAGTTGAGTTGTTGACATCTTTGGTAATAGTCTTTGTTATCGGAATACCCCAGAACAGCTTTGGTGAACTTTCTTTGAACACCTTCAATTCTAATCAGATCATTATGTCTACAATTACTGTAAACTAAAATACCATATTCAAGAATGGGTAAGATACATTTTCTGTATAATAACAATCTCGATTCGATATTATTAAAGTTTATCATTGTCAATCCGATCAGCTTTCTAGCTTTGGAAACTTGAGATATAATGTGTTCAGAAAGGTTCAGACTATTGCTATATCTTAAACCCAGGTCACGAACAGTGTTGAGAGGTTTGAGTATATGTGTGTGTACAGTCAGATTTAACTTAAGGCAGCGACCAATGTGAATAAATCCACTTTTGTCAACATTAAGTGGCATATTCCACGAAACAGTCCATTCGTACAACTTGTTTGTTTCCTCTTGGATTACCGCTGAAATATAGCTTTCTTTCGTAGGAGAAGAGAATGAATATACTACTTTCAGGTCATCAGCAAAAAGGAAAGGCTTACCATACTGAAAGAGGGAACACACGTCATTTATAAAAAGGAGAAAGAGTAATGGACCAACCACACTTCCTTGTATAACCCCACTGGTTACATTCACAGGTTTAGAGTAGCAAGATCCAAAGCGAACGATTTGGCTACGTTCTTCTAAAAAAGATTTGAACCAAGATAAAAGGGGATTCTGTATGCCAAATGAAGAGAGTTTTAAAAGAAGAAGTTTGTGTGAGACACTGTCGAACGCCTTACTAAAATCGAAGTAAAGAACTATCACTGACTGACCAACATCTCTTCTCTGGGTAATTTGATCAAAAAACTCCAGGTGCGATGTGAAACATGAGTGTTTAGTCATAAACCCGTGTTGGGATGGGCTGGTCAGACTGGCCGAAAGTAAAAATGATAGCAGCTGTTTGTGGATGATTTTTTCCATGGTTCTTGAGAGCATGGATGTCAAATTAATTGGCCTATAGTTAATTATATCACTACGTGGTCCTGTTTTGAATCTAGGGGTGATAAGGGATGTTTTCCATACAGATGGATAGGTCCCATATTCCATAGATAGATTGAAAAGTTTCAAACAAAATAGTGGAAATTCTCTACTTCCATATTTCACAAATGATGTTGGTATCCCGTAAGGTCCACCATCATAAGACTTTTTCAGGGCAGCTATGGCCTACTTGATGTTGGAGCGTGTAAAATCAATTTTCAACAGATATCTGGATGTCAGCATTGGAAATGTAATGATGGAGTTTTCAGTTCCAGTTTTGTAGCACTGCGAGAAGTGCTTGCTGAATTGTTCGCATATAGTATTCGGGTCGTTAATAATGCTTCCATTAACTACGAAGAATTTAGTCGTGCCAAGGGAATTTGACTTTACACGGGATTTAAAAAGCCGAAGTATTGATAATTCTGGGCTTATACTACGTAGAGCTTTATTTTCTATATTCATAAAATACTTACGTTTAGATGAAGCATTTCTGTCGATTAATTTAAGTATACTCTGAAGTGCATACATATCATTCTGCTCGTAGTAGCGGCATTTTAATTTCCTCAGCTTTCTTTTAAAAGTATTTTGGCCCCTATTAGCATTATTAGCCACACGGCCAATAACTGGAGCAGTGCAGTCAAGGCAATATATCAGGTTGTGGTATAGATTGGAAAGCGCAATGTCAACATTATTTGTGGTAAAATAAGTTTTCCACGGTAAACATTGAATGAGAGTTCCAGTCCGTTTCCGTGTTTGTTGATCAAAATGTCTGCTTTGGTACACCAATGAAGCTTTAGAGTTCAATTGTATGGCGTTTAAAGAGTGAATAATACTCAATACAACTCTATGGTCACTCATAAGAAACTCATGACTGGTATGCACTGAGATAGAGTCTATGCTGGTTGTGAACATTAAATCAAGTGTATTATTCCCCCTGGTCGGTTTTCGGACCTGTTGAACCCATCCACAAATTTCAAATGTTTCAACTAGCTTGTTATATCGACCTGGTACCGGAGTCAAGCCCCATGTAATTTTGGGCAGATTAAAATCACCTCCGATAATTTTAAAAGTGTGAGGTTGGTGCGAAGCAATGGAAAATATGTTTGTTAGTAAGCTGTCAAACTTAGTATCCGCATGAGGTGGTCTATATATGCATCCCACAAGTAAATAATTTTGGGATCCACAGTTTACAATAACCCAAGTGGAGTCGTTTATAGCATCAAGGGATTTATCCTCAAATTTGCATGCTTGAATGTCTGAACGG